CTCCTTCACAACACATCTAGCGTGGTTCTGGTCATGCCACAAACTGGGATGATAAGTTTATAGAGAAAATAATCTTGTCAATTCCAGATTTGAACTTGCAGGAATTGATCCTGGGGGAGATTTAAACTGTGTAATAATACTGGATCAATCCAGTCATAAATCTATAAACCTAACAAAAAAGGCTAAGCTACTTTCAACTTTTATGGAGCAGGTTGGAAGTGTTGACCTGTTTTTTATTCCCACAAGGTAGGTGTTTTTATTTCTTCTCATATGGCAGAATAAACTGTTTCTTTGTTGACCAGTCCCTTGGTACCTAACCAGACAGAAAACTTTCAGCTGGTAGGGGCTTTTGTGAAATAATATCCCTCAAAATTAATGATTTTTTTTTTTTTTTAGAATTCAATTTAAAAAAAAAATCAAATCCGTCCTTCCCTTCTTTGGGAAGCACTAACAGCAGTAATCGGGAATTCTGCTAAAATAAGATGAAAAATACTAAACTGGAGGAGCTCATTAGATCAGTATCCATGGTGGATGATCAGTACTCCATCTCTTCTTCCATTGAACCGTTTTAAAACAAGAAGAGCCTCAAACCTGAATTCTGTCTTGACGCCAATAGAGGGCAACAACTGTCAACTTCTTTTGAGGTTTTATAGACATGTGATGTTAGCTTGTTCATCATTTTGTACATGTGACGGCGCAGGATCGCAAAGGGATCGAGATGACCCAGCTGGCATTTGACACATGTTAGCAGCAGCGCCAAGGTGCAGCTTTTATTTTGAAGGTGAGCCCTATCAATTTCCTGTTTTTCCCCACAGTTTTCACATCAAGTCGTTAGCAAACAAACATGAAAAACTAAAGGTAACCATGGCAACCAATGCAGTCACTCTGCAGCTTCTTTGCAGCTGATTTTCTTTTATGTTTCCATAGCAACCACTGCTCTCTTACTTTCAATATGGCTGACAGTTCTTAAGCTATAGGCGCAAGACGTCCTGCGAAAACCCTCCCACCAAGTTTGCGCCTGAATGAAATGAGCTAGGTAATTTCAGTCACACTGTTTCAAAATGGAGGATTTTCTGTAGTAGGAAGCTGCACACTGATTGGCTCATGAGTTTTCAATCATAAGTCATTAGACAAGCAGATGCGCCCCATTCCCATGTCCACTTTTCTGCAACAGTGGAAACTGGACTTTAGAAAGTAGTGGGCGACATCACGGTGTCGCCCACTGGTTTCTAAACCGATGCCATCCACGTTCCCGGCGGTTCCCGTGACCTTTAAAGAATTTGACCCACCAATCCTGAGCTAAAGATTCAAACACAACAACACAATGACCAGTCAGCTTAAAGACGCTGACTGTCTGTCCTCCTCCTCTGCTCACCGTTTACAGTCATTGTGAGGTCGTGGACGTGACCTCGCAGACCAGCGGGAGAGCTGCGATCTGGACGAGAGGAGGAAACTTATCCATACAAACTTCTGACGAAAGAAGCGACTGTTTCTGCCCCTGTGCTGTTGACTGCCCCCTGCTGGCAGTCAACAGCACAGCAGTCAAACTTCAAAAGAAGCTGAAGTTGACTGCTGTCGCCCCCTAGTGGCATGGTGTGGGCGGGGTTAGCGCCTCCTTTACACCTCCACCTCAGAGGTTGGAGTGATAAAATCCCACTCAGGGATCCATTCAAAAAATGAAAGGTTAATGCTTCAGCATGTGGTGCCAGAACTCTGACACACCTGAGTTTACTAGAAGCAAGGGATCACATGACCACAGGAAGCAGCTGGACACCGGCTGCTCAGACCCTCCCCCTCACAACACAGACGCCCTCACACCTGTGTTCAGTCATTTCAGAGAACTCCACTGAAAATCAGTCTGAAGACAATCAGCTGCACAAAGGAAGCTCTTCATCATCATCACCCTGACACACATCACATTAATGCCATTTAACAGCTGACCAATCAGTATACAGAGGGCCTCCACCCACTGATGGAGCCGCGCGGACAGACAGACAGGTGGAGGTGCAGCAGGACCGGAAACTGAACAAAGCAGTCCGGATTTTGCACCTCTGCAGCAAAACACACACACACACACAGTATCACCTCTGAACATCCACCCGCTCTGGATCCCGTCAGCAGAACCGGAACCTTGCTGCGGCTCGGTCTCAGTCCGGTTCCGGTGGGTTCCGTTTCCTGCAGAACAGCGCAGAGACGTCTGTGTGCTGGAGGAACCTGCTGCGGTGTGTGTGTGTGTGTCAGGGTGGGCGGGGCAGAGCGAGCTGTGAAACGTTCCTCGCGCGTGTTACTGTCAGGTGATCGGAGCCTGAAGGGTTAAACTTTGGCGCTGTTTTTAACCCTTCACGCACCTGAAACGTCACAGAGACAAAAACACGTGATTCTGCCTTTTTTCTAATCGCCTGAATAAGCAGCTGGGTGCAGGCTGTGGCGCCCCCTGCTGGGACAGGAGGGGGGGGGAACATGCTTTTCCCCAGAGAAACCCAAGACAGTCTCAGACAGGGAACACTGGGAGGGCTGAGGCTCACCTGCAGCAGGTGTTACTGGCTGAACGTTCTTCTGAAGGCTGGTGTTCTTTAGCTCATTCAGAATCATTTCCAGTTTATTAATATTACATCCTGAATTCAGACACTGTGACCTGAACAGAGAACATTTTCTTACAAATATCCATGTGGATGGAAGAGAGATAAGAATGTTTACCGACAGGCTTCTCTTCATCATTATATGTGATCACACACACACAGAATTAAACCATTACTAAATATGTAGTTTTGTATTCAGGAAAAGGAGGTTGTCTGTGCTCCAGGTTCAACCTAAACAGACGAGCAGGTCCACCACAGGGGGGGTGCTGTTTCAGATCTGCTGTCATGATGTGAAAACTGAACTTTGAGTCCTCAGAGTGGTGACTACATGTTTGCATTACCTTTCACTGTGTGTGTGTGTGAGAGAGTTGAGTGAGAGAGAGACTTTAAACTGTATTCTCTTATTTTTACCTGCGGCTGGAAATGAGCAGGATAAAAAAAACAAAAAAAACAAATGTGACTGAAAGAATCTCTCTCTCTCTGGTTGATGCACCTCTACCAAGCAGAGTGATGGGCAGACGCAGGTGCTCAGTGCATCACCTGACAGGTGGTTATGATCAGCTGAGAGAAACCGTGATCACAGGTGTCTGTAAAGTAATTTCTCCCTTAAAGACGTTGTGTACACGATGAACCCACCTGACACTTCCTGCAGCATCACTTCTGTTCCCATGGAAACACCCGATGACCCATTTTTTTCCATCAGCGTGATGTGACATGGATGAAACAGCGCTCTCAGGTGTTCGGACACAAAAACAGAAACACCTCGTTCAGTTTGGTTGGCTTTATTAAAAAAATGCTGTTTATGTACAAAGTGCAGCTCCACCGATCAATCGGAACTGGATTCAGTCCCTGTGCCTCACACAGAAACTGGTCTCATGAAGCCGGTTCTGAGCTGGATATTAAAGACCATTTTCAGGAACCTGATTGGTCAATAGGTTTGGGATGTGAATAAGCTCCACAACAACAGGTGATGAAGTGTCACCACTTCAGGTGAACGTGGGCGGGATCCTCCTCCACAGACCGCCACACAGACAGTTCTTAATCCAGCGCTGCTCCCATTGCTTCATGGCGTTTGTCTTGTTGGGCGAACGGAGCATTGTCACGCAGCCGCACCTGAAAGAGGCGGAGCTTAGTGATGTCATTATGAAAGTGGAACATGTGACATTGCCTCTCACGGACCCACCTGGTGCAGGCTTTGCTCTCCTCGGTGGGACACACGCCCATGTGAACACAACGCAGGTTATCCATCCTCTGGGAGCCAGGAGTCCTGCAAGCACACACAGAAACACACAAGTTACCGTCAGCACAGTCACTGGTACCTTCTCGACTCAACCTGGTTTTGTTTGTTTTCCATTAGAATCCAGTACCAAATAATGTGTGCGGGGTTGTTCTAGGAACTCGGCTGAAAGTCCTGTGACATCATTCGCATGTGACACAAACAGAGGAAGACGTGGAGGCAATGGTGTATCTGCTGCTAGGTCTGTGGCGTTGTTCTTTGTGCAGCCGTGTTCCTCATTGCCGGGTTTCAAAAACAGCGGTATTGATTTTCATGAAGGAGACGCTCTCATGACTCATCGAGTGACGCCACTGACTAGCCAATTGGTGGCATGCAGGCTGCTGACACCTGAGATCGCTTGGAACCCTGGCCAGTGGGTACTAAATTAGTACCTAGTACCAGGTACTACCACCTAATGGAAAAATCGTAAAAACCGAGCCGACCAGAGTAGGTTCTAAGGGAAACTGCAGTTTTGGAAAGCTGCAGGCTCAGGTGTGCATTACCTGTTGAACACCTCCAGAGGTGTGGGCGGGGCGTTGCTGGGCAGGGACGAGGCCTTGCCAAACTGCAGCCTGAGTGGGTGCTTGCCCTGGAGCTTCACCATCACACCGTCATTGACGGGCAGCCAGTCCATGCTGGGCACCAGCAGCTGGCTCGGCAGCAGGCAGCACTCGTCGATCAGACTGTCATCAGGGTCCTGGGGGGCGCCATCATCCCGTGCTGAGTGACAGAAAAAGGGAAACTGTTTAGTAGTGGTGACAGCTGAAAACTGCTTCAGCCTCTCTTTGACCTGAGTTCAAGCTTCTCTCGTGCTGAGCTCAGCAGGACAATTGTTTTCAGGACTCAGGTGAAGTTGATGGTGACAAAGAGCACACGCCACACGTCTGTGGTTCTGGTCATGCCTCAAACTGGGATGATAAGTTCATAGAGAAAATCGTGTTGATTCCAGATTTGAAATCACAGAAATTGATCCTGGAGGAGATTTAAACTGTTTAATAAATTTAAACTGTTGTCAGTCTGCCCCAGGGCAGCTGTGGCTACAACTGTAACTTGCCTCCACCAGTGTGTGAATGTGAGAGTGAATGAATAGTGGAATTGTACAGAGCTTTGAGGGCCCCGAAAAGCACTTTATAAATGCAATCCATTATTATTATTATTAATAATACTGGATCAATGCAGTCATAAATCTATAAACTTACAAAAAAGGCTAAGCTACTTTCAGCTTTATGGAGCAGGTTGGAAGTGTTGACCCCCTTTTTCTTTTTTTTTTTAAATTTCCCACAAGGTAGGCACTTTTATTTCTCTCCTCCTCTCACTTGTATGGTCCAGATGTTTATCCAAGTCTCAGGAGCAGCAGGGAGGATTTCATATTTCAGGAATAAGTGGAGCGATCTGAGGAATCCTTCCAGAGTGACAACTGACCTGTAGCAACAGCTAGCTACGAGTCTGAGCTCAAGATTACTTACAGTTTCCATCTTACTGTCAGTTTTACCTACAGAACACCTGTTGCCAAATGCATTGATCCGATTGGTCAGATCTGTTTATTTCCATGTGAAAAGAACCCAACAAAAACAAACAGTAAATTAATTAAGAACAATTTGCACGTGGCGGTGAGTGACGGCCCGTGCCATTCTAGTCTGATCTGCTCTGAGGCTGATTGAGGCTTTCATCCAGTTCTCTCTACACTACACATGGATGATTAGATGTTTTCCTCTCTTTGCTGGTTGCTTTCTTCTCCTCAAAACTGCTGATGGAACTGCATGGTGTTTGCAGTCGAGGACTTCCTGTTTCACTCACGTTTCAATCACCTGCACACCTTTGACCTGATTCACTTTAAACAACCATGATTGAGGGAAGACTAACCCGAAACCTCAGATTAAAGCTGATAACCTTTGACTGAACGTGAGAGGACCTGAGGTCAGATAAAGTGGCCCAGTCCTGACCCGGAGTGTGTTGCTTACAGCAGAGCCACAGCTTGGTGAGCAGCCTGAACAGCAGCAGCATGCTGTCCTGGTTGTCCGACGTGGCAGTGAAGGTGGGCAGACAGCCGGCCTTCAGCAGACCCCAGATCCGGATCATCACCAGCATCTCCCTCAGCATCCCCAGAGACGCCCCGTCCCGCATGAAGCCAAACCCGGGCCGGACCATAGAGCCCTATGAGAGCAGCATACATAAACCCGGGGTCAGAGGTCATCAGCCAAACATGAGTTCTACTGAGTTCTGCTTCCTGGAGATGAACTGATTGATCTACATCTGCTTACAGCTTCTGTTTCATTGGAATGGTTCCGAGTCACTCCTCCTAACCTGGAATAAGGTGTGTGCATCGCCACCCGACTTCACTTACCTGGTTGGGCAGGTTGGCGAGCAGGTACAGGACGAAGTCTCCCACCCACTGGATGAGCTGCTGCAGAGACTGCAGAGGAGGACCATCCAGTACAAACTCCTCCGTCTTCAGGTTGATCATCACCTTATCGATATCTGAGAAGACATGGAGCCATCAGCCACCACCCACACATGATGGGTCACCACCGCCACCTGCGGTCTCACCTGTGTCTGTGTTTTTGGCGCAGATCTCTGTCAGTCGGTCTCCAGGACTCTTGTCCGGTGTGTTGAGGACATGAGGCCTCAGCAGAGACTTGAGGGTGGAGCTGATAGCGATAAGCAGCAGCTTGGCATGGAAGTCACACGCTCGAGCCGCTGTCGCCGTGGAGAGTTTACAGAGAGAAGCCTTCACTGCCACAATGCGTGTCGCCAGAACCTGAAGCAGAGAATGGCAGAGGGGAAGTCCTCGAGCCAGAAACAT